AATAAAATAATAAAATCAATAATGAAAAATAATAATAAAAATCAATAAAAAGAATCTTCTAGATATCCATTGACAACTCTCCCCTTTACATTTACCATTATACAATGTATTTTTAAATTCCCAAATTAATATACACATTTTGTCCCAATATGTTATAAAAAGATACAAATTAATTTTGAAATCCATACTGAAGTTTAGAGCACAAAGTTGAATGAACCTTGAGAGTTTGAAAAGAGAATATTCTTTATTTTCAGTTGAGTGACAAATAACCTCAGAGGCCCCAACATCAACAGTTCCCTGCGGCTTTGGCATCATGTTCAATCCTAGGCAATTTGCCTCACCTTTCAGGTAGAGGACAAATCAGGACAGTTTTTAAATACTTCCTACATCCTTCTTCCTTTCCTCTCTAACATTAATGTATCAAGAAACTGCCTGTGTGTTTGCTTGAGTATTAACATATGCACAAACTTAGTTAAGGATTTCATATTCTGAAAAGCTTTATGGAACACTTAGCAAATTCATTCACTCCAATTCCCTTTCTTCTATCTGTACTCACATGACAGTCATATTCATCAAATTTTCACAATTTTGAATATGACAGCACTAATTTTTAAAGAAGTCCCAAATAATGTCAGAGAAAGGAGGTACTATGAAATGCTTCTGAAGGAAAAAATGTAAGGAGAAGTTGGTGTGGTTATAATATAATATCTTAAAATTAAAGGAATCAAAAGATTTTACAATTTAAATTAGTATCTGTTATAAATATAATCCTTTATCTGTTTTTGGAACATTTTGTTCCGAAATTTTTTCATATCTTTCACATGATGCTGATTTTTATTCTATATCATCATTATGAGTGATGAACCTTAAGATTTTATTTTGATCTTGTATTCAGTATTCTACACAGAGTAGTACCTATAAATTCCATGTTCACAGATTTAAACACCCATGAGATTTACACATAAATTCCTTATCTAAAGACACATTGCATTCTCAGATCCTTTTCTCACTATGATGACAGACCTTATACTAAGGTTTTGCTAGAAGGAGAAAACTCAGACAATATCTTCCATGGCAAATACATCTTTACAGAGATGAAGCTATTTGTCCTTTATTTTGCATGGTTGATTCTTAGGTTCACACATTCCACAGAGAAAAACAATACACTTCCTCATAATTTCTTCTGCTTCTTCTTGTTTCTGTATTTTTTTTCTTTTTAAAAAATATATTTGGCAGACACTAGCTTCATTAGTCGTAGCTTGTAGGAAAGGGTGCTGTTGGGAGTTACTCAATTGAAACTATGTATATATGGAAATATCTTAAACAATCTTCAAGACATGTAATGAAAATAAAAGTAAATAATCCTCAACAGAGAGAAAATAACATAGTTATTACTGAGAAGATTTAAATGAATCATAGTCAAGTAACACATCGTCTTGATGCAAAATATATGAAGTTCAGTCATCTGTGATATTAGAAAGAAACTTTCAACACAAATGGCAAATTTTTAACTGTGTTCTTTAGATACCAGATGCTGTTTTATTGCATTTTATTGTT